TTAATTAAGAATAGAAAGTAGGAAGAACTCCTTTAAGGACTACAGAAACTTCGCAGAACGCGCTGATAATTCATCTCGGGATTATTCAGGGCTACAAATACAAAAATTCACCAGCCATTTTTGACGCTGAAACTATATGACATCAACCTGTAGCCAAGTTGCACTGCCCTTAAAAATAAAGTCATATCTAGTTGGCACGGCGCTACTAACAACCAAGGATTCAATCAGGTCAAAACAACATTTTGGGCGGGCTGTATCAGAAGAACAATGCCAAATGAATATACAAACACTAGTGAGGATCGATGAAGACCTATATTTTGGAAACAAACACAGACCCTTAGTTGAAACGAAGAAGAAGAACAAATAAAAAACATAGAATAGAGTATCTGGCCTTGTAGGCATCTATATAACTTGAAATCAGTAGCTTCTTGAGAACGGTATGAAAAGAATGGAGCGCTCAGGATGTAACAAGTTTCATAGCAACTTGAGGAATGAGGTCAGAGAAGCAGTGATCTGATCCGAAGGGAAATGATTCTAAATGATGGCAAACTTAGGAATTTCCCATCTCTTGAGAACTTGGGAATCATATAACGTTCAATCGCTCCCACAACGAAGCATTCACGCCAATGAATTTTCGATTACGAAATTATCCAAGAGGCTGAGAATCTTTTGAAGCCCAATGTGGGAACCCACTTTCTTGAACAACTTGCACTTTCTCAACACACAATGAGAAATGACACCGCAAAGAAAAAACAAAGCAGAAATACTTTTTCACAACTGCGGCGAAAAAAGGTACGATGAGCAAATGACAAATTAATGGCAATTTTGCAGGGTGTGAAGAAAAAACTGTACTAAGATCTCGAGCATTTATGCACGACCAAAACTCATTCACTAAAAAAATCAGGGCGACCACAGAGCACACTTTTCGGATCTGCTGTTCAAAAAAAGGAACAGCAACCACTAGAAACAAAAACTTACAGAAATGAGGGCCAGCGGGCAAATATAATAATTGTAAAAAGAAGTAGCAAGAAAGCTCACACAATGAAGCTGAAAGAGTCGTTCGTAGGAGCCCAATCAAAAACAGCCTTATTAAAAAAACCGGACAACTTATTAGTAATGGTAAATGGTGAAAATCCAGGTTGACTAATTTTTTGTAACAGTGCGACATCCACCTAACCATTACTTAGGAACGTAAACCGTCCAATTACGAACGGATTCAGGTCATAGACACGTAGGCCAATCCATGAATGAGAAAATGTTTCTAGAATCCCAGGCAAGGCGGTATCAGTCAACTAACCACAGGAAGATGGTAATGCCCAGAACTCCATCCGTATTTAACTTCCAGATCATAAGCGCGATAAGCGGCGCCTCTCGCCTTAAACCGCATTAACATTGCTAGTTATTTCTGATGACGGGCTAGTGGTCTTGTCTATCGCTTTTGTACAAATCACCACGCCACTTGCTTTTAATTCCTTGCAACATGGAAAAGTTAGTAATTTAGTAATGAAACATTCAAGCTTGCAAATGAGACTATCAGTTTTAGTTTGTTTTAGTCCTTATATAATTCAGAAGGCCTGGCATCTACACATGCTCTGGAAGAAACTGAAAATTCTGGAAAAGGTGGGTCTCTACCTGACAGTCAGGTGCAAATTTTCACGAAACAGTGCCTTGGCGGAAGCCATTTGGCTTCACAATCGCTTATTCACAGCGTAAAGGAAGACAATAACTTATTTCCAATGTATCATTAATGAATAGGACATATATCAAAACAAATTCAAGCAACTAATTAATTAAAAAATTATTTAATATACAAGCATAATATATGAACATTCTTGTTAAAAATTATAGATTTGTGACTCGATGATAGGTAATGGAACGATGTTCGTACGGTTTGAGACACAGAACTCAAAAAAGCCTACAGATAAAAATCGCACAAATAACAACTTTCGATAACGATTTTCACGGAACGTTGAACAGTGGAACTTCTAGAGAAAAAAAAAACGCAGAGAACTGAGTGACAACGTCGCCACAGAGAAATGTTTTCTCCTTTGAACGTTCTTGCCTCCGCGATAATCAGAAAGGTGTAACCTATCTAGACACGGTCACGCGTAATTTGGTCTAGAACTACTGACCGAACCAGACAAAAACGCCATAACAACCGATTTTTTGAATAAACAGAAGATGCTAAACTGATGAAAAGAAGTTAAGCAGAGCACTTTTACAAACTAAAGCGGAGAGAGAATCACGGAGAAACAGTGGAAGAAAAATGACTCGAAAACATAAGAACAAGAAAACTGAACAGAAGAGGAACAATATCAGCACTTAAGCAAGGGCAGGTCCTGTAGAGCAAACCTCACTGTGGCTTCATTTCTTGACCAATCCTATATGATTGTATCTGAAAACGCCCGTAGCAGACTCATCATGAAATACTTCTTCATACTAAATCCTTCAGCGATATCAGTGATAAGCGCCCATGACATTCTCTTATGTTGCTCTAATGCGTTATAATGATGAAACACTTGCCTTATGCCAGTCCATTTTAGCGCGAATCACCGGCAGTTGTCGTCGGAGCGCTTTGAAAGTATTGTCAGACATCGATGCATAATTCTCTTGCACAGCTAGCTGAAAAAGTACCACTCTGGAGAAAAACCAGCTTCGCCACATTTCATTTCTTGACCTTCTTCCCTATGACTCCGCTTATTCCACTTTAACAAAACTCGAAACATTGCTCATATATGTACATAGACAGAAGCGCCGCTGCAACACTCTATACAATGATTTTGAGAATTGCTGGAAAACAATGCCGCCACCACCGCACATGAATCATCCCGAAAAACAAACAATTACACTTGATATGAACAGAGGAAAACAGGCTTGCATATTATGTCGGCTAAGCCCAAAAGTGTTCTAAGTCTTAACAACGAGGCCCTTTCAGCATCATCGTCTTAAGTACGTGAATCCTAGAGGCAAACCGATATCTATAAATATTTGGCACAGGGGAACCATAGCTTCCAGGGCTTGGGTATCGTAAGCCAGTAAAAAATGAATGACAACAAAGAAAGAATAAAGGAGGTTAAGAGACGCAGTCTCAAAGAGACTCGTGTCACTTGAAACAATCAGCAACTACGTTTACTAAGGGGGAACATTACGAGAAAATTAGTTTATAAAAATGCAAAAAAAGAATGAAGCGCCTCAGAGTTATCCCTAACACAGCCCTCAATAAGCCTCAACATTGTCAGCAAAAATCAATGACAAAAGGTAGGTCTCTCCTACAGACAATACTGTGTTAACACAAAGAACAATTTGTTGGAGATGTTTTAAAAGACAACAAAAGGAATTAGACTGACTGGACAAAAGCCTACCTAGTTATTTTTCCTTCCTCAGTTCCAATTTATTGCTTGATGCAATCTCGTTTGCGTCTTCTCAAATTCCCCGCCTAAAATAAAATAGAAGCGACTGACCACGAACAGCAGCATCAACAGAAGGGGCTAGTAAATCCCAGTCATTGCATTATCTTCACATTGCATCTTTCTCAGAAAACAGTTGGACGTTGCCGTCTTCATAATAATGCACCTGAAACAAATAAGACCGGTGCTGACTCAGTTCACTTGAAACGTGGAAAAGTTAAAAGCTCTTCACCTGTACTTTAATCTTGCCCACTAGTTCCTGGCGCTACCGGTTTTTCCATCACACCACAGGGATTTTCCATTCAGATCGCCAACGGCCATTGCTTAAATAAAAAATAGAAACTCATGAAAGCCCATCACTATTACAATTAGCGGTACAAACCATATACATACCATGATGATCTGTAGGTTAGGAACTGATGATGACTTCTATGCCACCAAAGTGAAGTTACCATGACGAACGAACACGCAACCAACGCCTGATTTCGAATAATGCTCCTCAATGTATGCATCTAATTCCTATAAAGCAGAAGTACAAATAACGACTAACTAGAATAAGATAACCAGATCATTGTAAGTTACCTTTTGCAAAGCATCGCGCCACGATTCCGAAGCACTCCGATGTCAGCTGTGATGAGCGTGATTATCAGTAGCTTCCTTGCGAAGGTGATCATACTTGAAGACTTCTTTGACGCATCATCTACGTAACGACCGCCACCAATATCGTTGAACGGCGTCACAAGAGTCTGAAAGAATTCTCAATGAACCTTAGTGTACCCTTATACTTGGAACGTTTCCTTCTTCTAGACCATTCATTACGAAGTTATACGAAATTCAAACCAATAAGTAATTATGGAAACCAACTTTCTGATGGACCCCTTCCTAAGATGATTTTTTTTACCTTACAAACGGTCTCAGGACAACTGGGAATGAGGATGGAATATGAGCACTGCTAATTTTGTGTGGGAAAACGGCACCAGAAACCAGTTACTCCAATTCAACGAATTGTTTGTCTTTCCAGCTCTAACTAGGGAAGGATGAAGGGTCGAAGTGGCCTTATGAAATGAGACAAGTATCATGGTATGTGGTTTCAGACGCTGATCTCGAATCTTCTTCCCAAATCTGCCAAACGATTCGCTGAACGGAGTTACGGAGGTTTTTTGTTCCCTCACACAGTTTAACACAGTGAGAAATCAGGCCTCAGCAGCAGCGGCTCTTGAACGAAGCAGTGAGCGATCGTGTGCTACCTGTGGCCTGACGTGGGTAAGGCGATGGGCTTGGCATTTCGGGGTCAGTGGTTCGGATCCGCCGCGTGTTCTCGCTTTTGCATTTTTGTGATTGCCTATTTGGCAGTAGTGCAACGGTGATTCCTTCATCATTGGTCAGCCCTACTTGCTTTTGGATGAGTTTGAGGTCGATAACGCCTTCGAATTTTCCTTACTTGCATGCCACTACATAAGATTAAGGCGGGCCAGTATACGGAGCGCGCGCTTCAGCGTTTTTGAGTGAACGAATGTGAGATCTGTGTTCAGTAACTGTCCAATAACTCCTGGGGCTAATTTCTAGAAAAATTCGAGATTTTGAATTAACTTCAAAAAAAGTGGGCGAGTCACTCATTGATGCTATATATCCATAGCCGGTGGTTCCAGGGTTGATCCTATTCTGGACGACGGCAACTTTAAATTGGAAAAAATACAAAGGGGGGTGTGCAAAGCATGGGCGAATAGAAAACGCAGGCAATTGTTACAACTCTTCAGGAACCAAAAAAGAACTTATATCGTCTCAAGGCTACATAGGCTTCCGATGATAGGCTGATGGATGAATGGATAGATAGATACCAACCAGCCTATTTCGAAATTTGGTCGAAATCTCAAATTTGGCTACAAACTTGTTCCTAGGGGTATTTTAATCTCCGGAACACGAATATCACACTCGTTTGCTGCAAAAACGTCTGCCAAGAGTTCTGTGGGCTTTTCATGTGGAATCTTTAGTAAGTACCGCCGAAACTGATTAGAAACTCCTCGCAAAGTCTTTGCACGGGTGAACTACAGGCAAGCATTGATCGAGTAAAGTTGTTGGGAGCCTTTTTCAATCATTTTGCAGCGAAGGCAAAAAAGAGAACCCGCCAGGGAATCGATCCTACGACGTCTCGCACGTGAACCCGGACTACTACCGCTGCACTACTTTCCTTCATAACTCCATTCGGAAAATCGTTTGGCAGATTTGGAAAGCAGATTCGAGATCAGCGTCCAAAAACGCATCCACCGGTGTAGGTCTCTTTACATATGGCCACTTCGACCAACCATCGCGTTCCTTCGTCATAATCTGAAGTGCGCAGCGGAACTGCAATGTTTGGTTTAAACGTAGAAACGAGACAAATTTGAAGCGCAGTGGAGACCACACAGAGGCCAATTGCTACGTCCATGCACCCGCATTGATATCGCAACGGTAGCGATCGATCATCAAAGAGTCAACGTTTACTAATGTATTGATTAAATTGAAAAGACTGACTGATACATCGAAAACGACATGGAACAGCTGATTTGATTACTTCTCCATGCGCAAGTTACTTCATTAAGACACGCGACCCTCGGACAGACGCCCCCGCGCGCCCTTCGCGGCCTAACGAACACAGACTACAACAAGAAACAATACGCCAATGCTCGCAGAGAACAACAAAAAACCAATCATAAAGTTACAAGCAAAAATGTATAACTTACCCTACTGATAGTGATGGTCAGCTGTAACAATCCCAAATTTAAACACGTGATTTTATTGTATTCAAACAGTTTTTTTAGTGTTGCGCTGAAACAATATGGCTCATTTATTGGAAAACAGACATTCCACCATATCACAGCTATTAGGTTTTATAAGAAAATAGAGTCGATATCCGAAAATTGGGGGGAGGCGTGTCATCGGAAGTGATATGCACTTGATAGAAGTGCGTGGATAAGCTGCTGCCAGCATGCTTTGCTGATATCCAGCGTTATGTATTGGAAGCAGCTTATCCGCATACCTTATATCAAATGCACGTCACAATTCGCGTGACCTTGCCGACCCAACTATTAGGTATCCGAGCAATTAGAATAGGAGAATCGATTGAATATACTTGGATACACTCCCAGACATATTTTTCGCCATTTTTATTGTCTAGGAAGAAGAAAGAAAACCAGCACGAAAACGTAAATTTTGATTATTTTCGAAATGAAGTGCCGGTCAGCAGGTAGCTTGATCTTACGAAATACATCATAGTAGGATTGAGAACAATGCTCAAACTTGCATGAATACTGGGAGCAGCTACTTCGCACCACTCATCAATTGCATTCATTGGCGTCTAGAGCAAGTGTTTTTTGACGATTTGTCATAGTTTTCATTGGAAAAAGTTCCAGATGTGCTCACAATTAATATTCCAACATGTAAGAAATTGTTGAGATTATCTCAGATCCCTCGGTATGGTTTGGTTTGTTCGAAGAGTCAGCAATAGCAATGGTAAACACATAGCATCTGTGCTTCTGCCCAAAGCGCCATCTAATAATGTTTAGTCAGTTTGAGCTTTTGTATGAATGTGAGTGAATTTCATGCTGATCCCACTTTTTTGTCTTGTCAGCGCACTGCAGTGTCACCAACCAAAATATACGCGATTTCTGCAGTGAATACACTGCTACGTTGAGAAGTGAATTTTTTATCACTCATGAGATTACGTCGAGGAGCACACTGCCACCTTACAATGTTCGAGCTTTCTGCCACTAAACCCCCCCAACCTCCGCTTTTTCAGAGGCCATGTAGACACAGCGAAGAACTCGCGCGGATATCGCGTACATCGCATGCAGTGAGCTCGCAAAAAGTCGACTCCCTACCGCGTTTTCTACTTCAATTGGTGAGTGGAAAGGTTCAGTCTCTGGTTTCGAGAAGGAGATTTCTACCAAGATGTTGTGACTGTGTAAAAATCAAACAACAGATGGTCGAATATCCCATGAAATTAGGAGTACGAGCTGGTTCACCATCAATTCAGCAACTGTAAAAGTGATAAACGAAACCGGGCAATATCGTCGACGGAGCCCTTGAAGCTAGCGAGGCGGCCTGGACTGTCATGTGGTCACAGCCGCTGTATTGCGACGCCGAGAGCCTATCAGCATTCCGTGCAATGCAATGAGAACTATTTGCGACAGAAAAAAAGATGCCACTACAGCACGACATCTGCGCGCTATGATAATAGTTAAAGGCAGCGATTACGATAAGGAGCGAAGCGCATCGGGGAAGCATATGCACCACACGAAGCAGTTACTTGGCTGCCAAGGAAGCGAGATGTGGCACTCCCACGACGAAAGGTGCGCTGGTTGTTGAGCAGGACTTCGAAAGCACTCCGCCCCAAAAGCGATCCGCCCACTAGTTTAGTTGGTGATTTGGACGAGCTGCGTTGTAGCAGCGGCACAACTGGAGCAACTCGATTGGACCGTGGTTTGGCATGCTGCCACCAAACGCATTGCGTGAACTCGTTCATACGTCCGATTTCTGAGCTGTTACCTGTTCATGAGTGAAAAAGAACGGCCAAAAAGGGGGTCCCGTTTTGCGTTTTCTTGACGGATTTCTCAGCTTTTTCGCCACTGCGTACCATTGAGCACCATCACTTCTCCTTTGAACCCTTCTCGAATCTATCGTAATCGCTGCCTTTAAGATTATCACTGCCTAACTTCGCTTCAAGGAATGATAAGGGCAGTCAGAACATTCGTTTCTCCCCTACGTCGCAGGCAACGTTCTGGGTGGAGATATCTGAGCTTGTCAACAAATCCTCAGATTACGAATCGAATCAAAGTGAATCAAAGTTACCAAAACGTTATAGCAACGATAGAGAACGCAAATACCTGTTTCTCAACTCCTTCTAACTTCACTGGAGCGAATTGACTCTCATTGTATTTCGTAATAGCCTGCGCACATCCTTCCTTTAGCAGTTGGTCATTGTTCAATAACATACGAACAGCATTAAAAACCTTAACCAATTAGGAGTGAGATATACTTGATAGAACAATTAAGAATTCGATTATACGAAAACCTTCTAATCCAGCAACATACCTCATTGAATTCACCAGGTGGAGCATGTTGTAGAAAATCAGAGACAATTCGCACTTTTTCGCTGTCCGGGATCGTTGCTTCGGATGTCATTCTCCACTGTGAGAAGGCAAATTCATTCAGTAACGCGCTATGACTAATAGAAAGGGCTGGAGTGACATTCAATATAAACGACAATAAATCAGGGAAGAAACAAAGACAGGACTGATCAAGAGCTATACGGGAATGAAGAGGAATGTGTTGAGTTAGTGTACGACGGACTCAATAACGCGTATAATCGTATTAGCTGTGGAGAGTGATCGATGCTGCAATCGACCCGCTGGCTGTCGACCACAACCGCGACTATCGATCCGGCTGCGGACTTCGTAAAAACACCGTACCCCTAATTCTGCAGCGACGCGTCGTTTAGAACACTTTGTCCGCGTTCCATGCACATTTCACGCGTTTTTGCAGACGATTCAAACCGATTCAGCTGTTTGTTTTTGAAGTTGCAGATTTCTCATTTTTCTGGGAGTGATGGTTCCCTACCAAGTGTCTCAGTGTCAAGCGAAGGTCTTAGGGGAAGGTATTACTCACAGGGTAATCGTAGATAGATAGTCTGCCGTTCGATCATAACGATCGTAATGATTGCACAGCGTTAAATAGGAACTTTTTTTTTTAAGACGACTAGGGTCTATTCCAGTTAGGGGGGCATCATGATGCAGTTTCTCGGCGAACTAGTGTGAACTCGAACATTCCAGCTTTTCACGCATGTCAAGTGACTGCCCTCCCCTAACTCCGTACACTCTGGCTCACAAGTTACCCTGGCTTTTTGGAAAAGCTGCCATGATTGCCCCCACTAACTGGGGAATACCCTCGGGGGACTACCCTACAGTTAGGCAGGTGAGAATGGGACCAGAGTGCGTAAGCAACTTTCACGTTTCCCCATTTCTGGCTCCTCGTAGTTTAGCCTAAGATGCCCCGTTTCGCTCCCCTTATTGTTAGAGAGGCCAATCTTAGTGAGGGCTGGGTGTTAAGGGAGTATCGACTAGCAATTCTACTTAATGTTCCAATCAGGGAGTAAATTCACGCTGTCTGGTGGTACGCTTCCGACCACTCGGGAGAGAATTCTCCGCAAATAAAAAACTGATCAGTGAAACGGGTCGCAGCTAATTCCCCTCCCTCTCCCACTCTTAATGACCCTTTATTTGGATTGCGCTTTCCTTTCCATATTTTTTTCTAGAAACCCTTGGAAAACGCCCGTTGTTTCGGGCTTTCAGGTTTTGACTGCGTGCGAGTGATTTGTTCGGAAAAGCGAGCTAAGGCACGTTCCTAGTGATTGAAAGGGTGTTGAGGTAGGTTATTTTTACGCATTTTTTGGAAAGTCGAGTTATTTTTTCATTATTGAACCGAGCGCTTTCATCAATCGAAAATATACGGCCTCTGAGCTTAATCAAGCGATACTTTCCTCGCGTAGTATTGAACGAAACCCTTCAAATAAATACTTTATGTTAAGGCGTTTTGGCCCCAAGCCTTCCTCATTTCTACAGAATATAACTGTGTACATCATCATAACAGTGATTTGCAACATAAAGAATGTGAACAAACTGAAACCTGAACGCGCGTTAACGAAGTATGCCAACTGAAGCTGTGCGAAAGAGCCTCGACTGCGGGGGTCCTCGTTTTCTCAAACTCAATTTCTTTTTGTGTTGATAAGCGGTTAACGCTAATTCTTCAGTGTTCCTTGTTTATCCTAGCACGATTGTTTCGGTACCATGTGCACGTTCGCATTCCGTAGATTTGAGAAGTGGCTCAGGAAACGGAGCATGGCTATATCAAGCTTTTGAAGATTTTTCTTATAATACAAGAAGTAGTAACCGACTGATTTTCAATGCTTTTCTTAATCGTTTGTATTGGCGGATTTCTCCTTTATTCAAACATAATGTACAGCGTTCGGACTCATTCGGGCTGGCAGGGAAAGCTGGCTTTCGGAAAAGAGGTTTGCTGAGTGCCTATTGTGCTTGACTCGAAGGCGGCTATTATCGGCCACCCGCGTGTAGGAACACTTAGATTCTTGGTATCTCTGACGCTGCTGTTTTTACTTCCGGAGTCACGCGCGCTTAAATCGTTGTCTGCTTTATTTAACATGCCTGAAGAACTGGTAGATACAAGAAGGATGAGGATGCAATCCTCATCGACCACCTTGCAATCGTAGATATAATGTTAAGTTTTTCGATCTTCATACATACAGTGGAAGAGGAGATCCGGAGCGGCATAAATAGTTCGTCGGCCCGCCGTCAATCATCTGCCACCGGTCCTATTGCAAGGCTTCAGAAAACCTCAACGGAGATAGAAGAAGGAGTTTTGAGCTGTACGAGCGAGAGAACTCGTTTTGGTACACTAACAATTACAGTAATATGTAACGTGACCGCAACAGGTTAACTGTGCGCGAGCTTTGATGAGCAGCCTCTAACAATCTCCGTCTTTTCTGCTTGAACACTGTTAACGCAGGAACGGCAGGTCTTCTTGCAGCGCTATGCATGAGGAGCAGAGCTGTCAGAAGCAGCAGTCCCTGGCTGAACCATGCCAGGTGATCATTTTATGCTGGTGCGCCCGTGTGCGCGTTTTGACCACGATTACTATTGGTTCACGAGGGTAACTGAGGATATTTTCACACCCTTAGAGCCTACTATGGAAATAAATCATCCAATGCTAGGCCTATCTTACTCTTCTCCGCGAGTTTGATAGAGCTGCTCACAAAAGAAGGTGGAATCTGTGCCGCTCACTTTGCTTAAGAAAGTTTGCCCAGGGCGTAAAGCCTTGCCATTCCGCTAGACCGCTGAAGCTGTTGTACGCGATACGATGGTTTTGGAGGTGAGATGTCCACAACTCTCAAATTCTGTGCTTCCTAGTCTAAGCCCTAACTGCAGCACCCATGAATCATCGTCGTGGGGTCGTCGTAATCCCACTAACGAATGTTCTTAGTTTCAGTGTTTTCGGTGGTTTCCTTTATGTTTTTCTTCACTGGTGGTCCTTTGTAACATTTTCTTCGATTATGAGTAGTAAAGTAAACAAAGTAACTATTTCTCGTGATGCCTGTAAAATGATCGTTTGAACTTTAGCCAACAAGCCAACCGTGTTAATTTTGCCTAAGCGTTGTGATCAATAACAACGTTCAAATTGGTCTCCTTCTTGCACCTCTCTATAGCCATCCCTGTGTAGTATGTATCTTTGGAGTAATAATACTCACATTCTGCTTGTGTCTTCATCTAAGGAATCGTCTTTTTTCTCCAAATTCGTTTAAGGGCTTCATCTTTCCTACTGATCAATTTAGATGTTTCTTTATTTCGAGTACGCGATTCGTCATGTAGCGGGCTTGCATTCGAATTGTTAGAGCTATCGCAGGCGTTTTACGCCTAAGAGTATTTGTAGGGATTTAAAGTTCCCTATAGCACTTTTACATTCGGTCAGGCGTAAACGAGGCTCTGAAGCAGTCCCTTACTCGACAGCAAAAATTGGAGCGCCGACTGAAAAGGGAAGAGCGAGAAGGCTGCACGTAAGCAGTACACATTTATGGAGCGGATCAACATCCGCCGAATGAAGAATTTGTGAGTGGCCTGCAACCGTATCACTCTTACCTTCCTGAAATATCCGCCGTGAAAATATCGACGTTTCATTTGCCGCGCGCCATTTTGCTTACGGAGTAGCGATTTCTGCGGGATATACTTTATATAGAGAATATGAATCTTGTTCAGGCTTTCTCCATCCCAACAGTTTCCTGGTCGTCTATGCCGCGAGGATGAGGTCAACCTTCCCGACAAACCATTGACCAACATCTTCATAAGGTTACAGTCAAATCTTTCAGCTTATTGTATAAAGATCTTAACCGCTGAAAATTGTTTATAGGAGTAAGGTAAAAACGCAGTTCTATTCTGTGGCAGAAGCTCTTGCAAGGCATCGAGAACTACAACAACCCTCTATTTACAATAACCCAAATGCCCCGATCAGGTTACGACTGGAATTGAACATGACCACTGAAAGACAGGTGCGTAAATATTTTCCTTCTTCTCTTTGGTTTCCTTTATATTTGGAGGTGCGGTATTCATTACTTTACTACTTACTGCTCTTTGCCGATTTGTTGCTTTTGTTTTTCTTAGCGTCCACTTGTACCCCTAAAAACATCTTTTGTTCCCATATCGTGGTTAACTACTCGCCAATGATTAATAGAAGCTAATTCGATGCGAGTTTCTCATGTGGTCCATGATATTTTTCCAATTTTCTTTAACCCGTTTCTCTGATTTTAAATTATAAATTTGTTTGTTTTCAGACTAAAATGGTTACGAACTCTGATGAGATCGTACCAGTGCCGTATCCGTTTGCGCATAACGAAAAACGTACAATTCTCGCATTTGTAAATGACCCAAAGCTCCAAGAAATCGCAGTGGAGTCTGGAGCAGAGATAGCTCTTGGTCAAGATGTCGTTAAGAAGGTGTGTTGTTCTGAAAGTAGTATTCAATTTTTTGATAGGTTCTCGTACCCAAAAGGCCATCGTTTTATGTCTTGAAAACATTCAGATCATAAAAGGTCAATTTCGAACGGATGATTACGATTTTTGCGTGGCCCATGCAGATATGGCTTCTTATATCCTGCCCTTGCGCGGAATTCTACGCACCAAATTTCCTACACGATCTAACGGTAAGGCTTTATGTTTTTGTGAGACAGGGTTAATCTCATTACTTCCTCTGACAACTTCTTTCAGGTGGTCTTGGAGAAGATCTTCCCGAGCTTATACAAAAATTCAAGAGTGGTGTGAAGCTTGCTATTAAAGGAGATCCTGTCTATCCTATATGGGGTCTCAGTGACTCAGTTGTTGGCAGAGTGGGTGGTTTTTTATCTTTATATTTCGCGCTTGCTTTCCAGTGACGGGCTTACTCAATACCCTTCGATTTTTAGCTTACCATGCCTGACGCCGAAGTTGAAGGCAATGTTGCTGCTGTAATAAAGGCTGCATGCGCCCATAGAAGTGCTGCATTGGGACCTTTCATTAATAGGTTCGTCAGAGCTGCTCTGTTATTTCCATAGGTTAGCCGTCTGGAAAGCCGGGGTACCCCCAGGAGGCCCGTCGCGCGGCAAGAAGGCAAAGTCAGCGGACGAGTCGCGCGCGTACTATAGGGATTTCGCGTCAAGTTAAATAGAGTGTCCCATTGCACGTCCTACATCGCACATCACGCGCTGCAACTCGTCCGCCGACTCTGCCTTCTTGCCGCGCGACGGGCCTCCTGGGGGGTACCCGGAAAACCGCAGACAATGAACCCAAAGCTTGTTTAGCTGCTCTTTTTGGGAGTTTATCTCACTTCTGGGGTTTCGACTCCAGTTTACGAGGGAAGATTTGTTTTAGAGCACTGTTGATGACAATCCCAGGAGAAGAACATTATGCTCTTAATGTGGACGAGTGGTTGCCTGTTCCTACTGAAGAGGAACTCGAGAAGGTATAGTGAAGTATCGATATTGCCTTCATATTCGATGAGCGCTGTATTGGGGACTTGGGAGAAGTTACCGCATCACGTCCAAAGTGTTTCGAAGTGGTGCATGGTGTTAGAGATAGCCTGGGAACAGGATTTTGATCATGCGCTGTGCCTAAGGTCGTGGCGAAGGAGACAATAATGCATTTTGTCGAGTGAAGTGGCCGGCGGGTGGTTTCGCTCGTGGTCCAGTTGAACAACCTCGAGCGTTTCCTAGGGTTGCTAAATATTTTATGACCCCACCCTCTGCAATCAATTAACATTATCGAATCGTTGGCGCGAAGAAGCTAAGATGGCCCAGTATCGGCTCCCTTTTTGACCTTGTCTCTTGCAATAACCATCTTTCCAAAAATGGGCGTTACCAATAGAAAGAATGCTTCCTCCGTATTTGTGCTGCGATGTCGTTTTTGTAATTATCGTACATCATCAATATTTAGCTGGAGAAGCGCCGCAACAAAAAAGGAAAGAAGAAAGAGGAAAAGAAGGAGGAGGATGATGAGGAGCCGTTGACGGCTGCTGCATAGATATAGTGCCCTTTTTTCATTGATAGACCAGTAGTAGTTTTATTTAGGAATAGTAAGTTCACTGTTATTGTGTTTTAATGCTTTGTAAGTGCAGAGTCTTCCAAATTTGTATTCAGACGTTGTTATTTCTTTATGAAAGGAGCACGGAAGGTGCATGATGTAAGATTGTTATGCTGAGAATTATTGTGATTTGATATTGCAACGATAAGTATAAAGTATTCTTATATAAATAACTGATACCCTATTGATTTTGACCATTAGAGTGACAGGATGTACTGATCCAAAAAGTAAATAGCCTGAGTCTTGTGGGTTATCACACTGCTCTTGCCAGTATTAAAAGTTACTGATAAACGAAAATGTCATTTATGTGCAAATTCCGGCATTCTTTGACAACATTCCCCTTGGTGTGGCCTGCCCTTCCGAATTTTTCAGTGTGATGGTTATTTGTTCATGTAGCAGGAGGCGTGGATGACGCATTCACACCACCAAACCTTTGGGATCGAGTCCACAACAGCTTTCACTGCGTCGCCATCATGCTTTTATGTATCAAATTCAAACTTTTGAAATAGTGGCGTTCTTCTGTTCTGGAGTATGAAATGCTTATTGATTTTCGATGCGATTGAATTACGTGGCGTATGCTGGAGTGGAGGCAGATGCTGATATCTTTTCTCTTTCATTATCAGGAATTGCTAGTAAATGCGTCGTAGTCATTCAATGATGGGTTGGTTTCATTTATTTTTTATGCTCATACCCTGGAAGCTACACTCTTTTTTCGACGCGGATAGTAGTTACTCGGAAGCAGGGTCAACCGTCCGTTCCCACTTTTCGGACGAGGGGGTCGCATTTGTGATCTGGGTATGGGAGGGGTCGCATTTTGGGGTTGAGCAAGGTTAATGGATTTGCCGCTTTGGTACCAGTTGGTAGACCCTCTGCTAGACGGTCGATTTGGAGGGGAAAGTGGGCGGAGTTGGGCTGTGTCGACTGGTCTCAGAATCAAATACTATAGAAACAGCCATGATGGTGAGGGTGGTGGTCGGAGAAGGGGGAAGGGGGATCGTATTGGGGGAGCCTTCTAAGACTGATGGTGGTGGTGGGGGGTCGCATCGAGACCCCCCTAAAGGGGGAGGGGGTCGCAAAATTTTTGGGAAAAGTGCGAACGTGACGATTGACCCTGCTCGGAAGGATTATGTGATTTTTCGTTTGTTACCCTTTAGACATGTTATTGTTTTTCAATTGCCTTTTTCTTGTTGTACAGATTATCCAACCGCTTCATCATGCTAACGTAATTTCTCGCTACCCTGTATAATCACCTCAAAAAATGGAGCTGTCAGCTTTGTTCCATCGTTTCCGGGATGCGCCATGTACTCTCACATTCACTCCGAATTGGCGTGATTACAATGTCTGCTCGGACCATGTAATAAATCGAGATGTACTTCAGCACATAAAGATCGCGGCGGGGTGTGAGAAAATAGGTTAAGCGCCGGCTATTACCTGCTATATGATTAGTAGTAGGGGATCATTTTGAAAATTGTTGCGTCAGAGTAGGTTAGATGTCACGCGCTTACGCGAACCTAATTCCGACAGCGCTACGCTGCGCGGCCGCAATCCTTCCTGCACCCACTAATTTGAAGGGACTAGTCGGTTTTGAAGTGTTCGTTTTTGTCCTCACAGACGTGTATGTCACCCCCAGGGGAAAAGAAGCAAAGAAATCCGTCAAACGCGCTCAGTGGGACCTATTTCTTTGTGCTAAGTTCTTTGATCTCCAAAAATGGACGAGGCAGCAATCAGCTCAGGGGGTGCTGTACGTTTAAACCGATAGTCACCATCCTGGGAATATTGCGCTTCGATTTTCCACATTCCACAGGAAAGTTATAGGATGCCGCCGTTCAAGGTGGAAAACCGTTCCAAAATGACAATCGAGGGAATCTGTCGCTGAGGGGGAAGCACAGGAAAGGCGGAGCTGCCAAGAAAGGACCGGAAAGCCCAGTGCGGTCCCAAAATAGCGCGCCGCTAAACCGCGAAAGGTCACATTTTGGCTTCCCTCAAGCTCGCCTGACTTACTCTGGCTTCAAGCTCTCTTGGGTAACAACTTGAGAAAGCAAGGCGTATGAATGAGTTCAGCGCATCGTTCACACCATGTCAACCACCATTCCATCGAGTCACACCACTTCTGTCGTTGTTGGCAAATGCCTCGGCTTTGTCCAAATCGAATCGCTCAAATCGATAGTGGGCGGCACTCGCTTTTTTGGGAGCGGAGCGTTTTCAAAGTCCTGCTCAGTAACCAGAGCACCTTTTGTCGTCAAACCGCTACAGCTCGCTTCCCTGGCAACCAAGTAAGTGCATCGTGTGGTGCATATGCTTCCCCGATGCACTTCTTCTTTATCGTAATCGCTCGCCTTTGAGCCATGCGCCTGGATGAGGCCCCTCAGTGCTTTTCTCAATTCCCTATCTTTTTCCTACTTATTTGTTCTGCATTCGATTTATCGCTTGAAGACGGGTTTACGATCAGAATGCAGCCCATAAGATTAAGGTAAAAGTAAGTCAGTGGTGTCGGGATGAAGAAAAAGCCATGAAGAAAAGGCGAGGAACGTGGCAAGTCGGACCCCTCCCTTCCTCGTTGATCGATGCCGCTATCATCAGTGATACCCTATTCAACGGTGACGCTCTCTCTGCTAGACATCTAGAGTAGGCAGCGAGAGGGTGGGCGTGTCTCGGCGCGAGAATGGCCCAGCTAATTTCCTGGGAGCATACTCTTCGCCGCACTGCCTGGCGCCTTTAGGGGGCGCACATGCCTTTAAACTGGGTAAATTTCCTCTCTTCGACCTCCGACCTTATCGTGGAATCCTTATTTTGGGCCTAAAACACTCACTGTACCTTCCACCCGATATCAGCAGTGTTCTGTTGGGAGCTCACATTGATTGCCGTGACGATGACTCTTTAATTATTGATGGTTAAACGAACATGACAAAAAAGAAGACTCCGTTACTAAGGGCGACACGGGAATAAAGAAGACTCAGTTACTAAGGGCGACACGGGAATAACAAAAGAAGTCGTAGGTGGGTGGGACACATCGTAAAGGAGAACAGCGATAATAGCTCACATATGTGAGTCGCCAGCAAGAACCGTGAGTCCTTTTTTCTACGGTCAAACCGATTTCGAGGGCATAGAACCTTCATTCTTTCGCATCAAAGAAGCTGGCCCGCATCAGTGAGTTCACAGGGTTGAAAACCAAATTTGAACCATTCGAAGGTACATTTGGGCGCATTGCAGTTCTCCTCCTTAGGTCAGGTCACCTCAGAAAAGGACACCTCTGGTTTGCTCGTAATAAGCCTAGGACTAGCCTAAGCCTAACCATAGTTTTGAGCATAAGCCAGAGTGTAATCACAAGCCTAAGCCTGAGCTCAAACCTAAGCCTAACCTTATTCTTTAATCATCGCGCAGCTCTGATGACCTGACTTAGGAGGAAAAGTGAACTTATTCCGTTATTGCGCCAAAAAAATGAAAGTAGAGGTGGTAAATGGTCGAACCACTAATGAAGTCAACACTCAAAACCACCACTAATCCCACAAACACGCTGCACGCTGAGCTGGTGGGCGGGGATTGCGCCTTTCTCATTCGTCTTCTCCTTTTACCGTATCAGCGGTGAAAATTATCAGCGGGAAATAACTATTAATGACAAATTACCGAGGTTGAGAGATTCCTAGAACGGTAATGGATTAGTACTGGCATTGAGCGATGTTTACAGCTCAGTGCCAGTCGGTCAACATTAGCGAATGGACCGGTAGGTAGTACCAGCCGTCTGTTTTCTGCGGTTTTGTGAAAGCAATCTCTCAAGACTATTCGTGGAAATTCACCAACCACCTTACCTGGATTTTTCTCTCCTAAATTATAAAAAATTCCCGTTCGATTCTTTACAATTGTGCCACTCCATCAATTGCGATGTTGCCACCGAATGAGAGCGTTCTTTGATACGATTGCACTATCTGGCCACTGCCGTTATCAATTTCTCTTATAGCTA